GGGCGAGTTTCGGGAACGGGGCGAGGTTCGGGAGCGGGGCGAGTTTCGGGAACGGGGCGAGGTTCGGGAGCGGGGCGAGGTTCGGGCGCGGGGCGAGGTTCAAATGCAGGTTCAGGATTCTTGCTTGGAAAGGGATGATCTGAAGATTTAAATGGTACGTTCTTCACCAAAATTCGACCTGAAGGAATGAAAGTGGGACAAACATTTAAATTTGTCATGAATAAATTAAATCAATTAAATTAATGTCATCAGCATTAAAAAGTTTTTTTTTTTAAGTTAATATTACAGCACATTGAAAGAACTAAATGTGTCTATCATCTATGGGCCAGGGAGAAAAAGTAGGACAGTAGGACACACTGATAATTGGAGACCCAAAGCGGACTTCAGACTGTTGAAGTGCCTGCCAGCAAAAACAAATGCATTTACAGAGTTTTCCCAGGGTGAGGGATTGACGACTCCAGACAATGAGGCAGCCTGAAGAAGCTACCAGTAACTGATAATCCTGAGTGAGCTGGTGAATTCTTAAATGCAGTATCATAGCCCCAACAAACACTCACTGAAAAATACAGATACCTATCTAGGTGAACATTACCACTAATGTTTCCCCGCTGGTTAAAAGGAATCTAATCAATAACTTAAAGCCTAGTTTGGGCCTTGAGTGAAGTGATGGGGAGAGAAGCCAGCCTTATTCCAGAAAAAAAAAAACACTCGTAACTGAATCCGATTCTCACTCATGATTTTACCCCATAACACAATAGCACAGCAAAAGAAGAGGTAGAAATAAAAAAAAAATGCAATTTGCCACACACCATAATTAGTAATGATTTTGTGGAGTTCCTCTTCAAACTGAAGTTCCATGTCTATCATGGAAGTGGTTGGCTGGGTGGAGCAGGATAAAAGGATCTGCAGCTGCTGCTGGATCTTGGATGGGCATGTAGGTGAGGAACAGGAACTGGTGAGCAGACCACAAAGACCATTTACCACAGCCAATAATACTCCCAGGACCTCCGTCTCAGACTGCCCACCTCTTTCTTGCAGGTAAGCAAGGTATAATGGTCGTCCATATACAGGGCCCGCTCTGCGAAGGCCAAGACGTGCTCCTGATGTTCCTTCAGCTTTCTCAGTACCTCCTGCCTCTTAAAAATGCTGTCCATCTCACGTCCACAGTACCCCTAAGAACAGAAGAGCCATGCATAATCAAAACAGGTTCAGAAAAAAAGTCATCTCTAAATAAACAATTCTCCTGTTGCTCCTTGGAGCGGTCAAATGAGAAAGAAAGATCCCACCAGACTGTGACATCTGGCAGCTGCAGAGTGCTATTCAGTGATACAGTAATGTTTGCTTTGAGAATGGTCTGATTACAGCGCTGGACATTCTGCACATCCTCATGGAAAATTCTGAATCAATGTTACATTTATGTAGAGCTTTCCAAGACACCCGAAGCGCTTTACAGAACCAATTGGAAGCCACTTCAACCACCACCACCGTGTAGCCCCCACCTGGATGACGCAACGGCAGTCATTCTGTGCCAGCATGCTCACCACACAGTAGCTAAGGTGGTGATGGGGCAGGAGAGAATTCACCAATTAGATATAGAGGATGATAAGGAGGCCAGATTTGAGGACCACAGTGGGCAATCTTAGCTAGGACATCGGGGTACCACCCCTACTCTTTCACAAGATGCCCAGGGATCCTTTACAACGTCAGAAAGTCAGGTTTTACATTTACACTGGGGCATTGAGATCCACACAGACCACAGTATGGGTTAACCTGTTGGCCACACCAACACCTCTTCCAACAGCAACCAAGCTTTACTAGCTGGTCTCCCATCCAAGTACTGACCATGCCCAAACCTGCTTAGCTTCAGATAGATTACCTAGTCTGACCTGCAGGTGGTATGGTGGCCGAGTCCAGAGAATACTGTGAAGCTGTTGCACGTACCTTCATTTCCTCGACCAGCTGTATCGCCCGTGCCACCAGCACATTGCGGAGAGAGAGGATGGTGTCCCGAAGATCCATCTTCACCTTGTACTGCACGAGTGTGAGGTCTGAAAGCCTGAGGGACCCAGCAACAGACATTAAGTTTAACAAGGGACTTGGAACAGCACTCATGGAGGTGATGGGCAGGGCAAAAACGGCTTGCGAGACCTGACCTTCCATCCAGGTCTAGTAGGCTTTTCTGAACATGACTCTTCTGACACCGAACCTTCTCCATCAGTTTGCGGACATCTTGCTTTAAATCAGCCATGACCTCACTGACAAACTGGAACCTGAGACAGAACACAAGACTCAACATTCAGTCAATCTGGTCCACCACTCAGGTAAGGCATACAAAGAGGTACCTAGTGTGTAAGTTTAATTATAATTATAGGCAATGTCCATAAATATCTAGGGCACAGTCGTATTAACCTACAGGCCACAATATACAAAAATATACAAGTGACATCAGGATTATATGAAGCTCTGAAAGTTTTTGGAAGTTAAAGTAAACACGTGTGACATTTTGTCATTATTTAACTTACCAAAATAAAATGTTATTAGTAAAGAAAAGAAAAAAAAACCTACCCTCTGTGCCAGTGCACTCGGAACTCTCAGTAGACAGAAAATACAAATCAAAGATGAAACGGCACGCTATCATTCAGAGCAGGGGCGGAGCTATAGGCGGGGCAGGTGGGGTCCCCGCCCCTGGGCCCGGGCCCTCCCCCCAGCCAAAAGAGGACCCTCCCATATACTAAATACACATAAAGTTACAATGATATAACTTCTTCAAAGCTCTTGACAGCCAGAACATATTACTTCCACTGCACTTATGACTTGCGATTTTATATATGACTATAGATTTTATAGATGACCGATCTGTGTTTTGCCCCGGGGCCTTGTGTGCAGTTGCTCCGCCACTGATTCAGAGGATGGTATTATTTTAGACTGGGCTTGAAGCGCCTTACCGGTGATTCCTGTGGTACGTCAGCTGGCAGTCACGACAAGTCAGCTGATCACATGACAGGCAAAAGAGCTTCATTGGTTCTTGTTTATGTATGAGGCAGAAGGTTATAGGAACACAGCCTGAAATGAAGTAGAGTCAGTGAGAAATCTGAAGGAGAGGAGCTTAACTTAAAGGAGGACAAATATGTAAAACGAACATGCCTATGCATACTTTTCATGAAAAGCTGTTTTGTTATTGTAGCTTGTTCCGGGCCCAAGACTTTGAATAAAAATTTTATGTGGACTATTGATCACCAAATTCAAGAACCCTTGCAATATGCTGAGTACGAACCTTTCGACAGTTGCTGTGGCAGCACCTCATGGTCTCGGGTCACCCTCACTCTCCTGTGGGCGAGTACACAGGCTGCACACAGGGCCTCGCCGCACTCCACACACCAACCAGAAACTGCTGTGTCCTCACAGCCCCCACACTGAGCAAGAGAATCAAGAGTCATGTTCAGAGGAGACCCAGATTCGGCACAAGACCGCTGGCTACTCAATGTGTGAGAGTGTATGAAGCCAGAGGAGATGCATTAAGCAAGCAACTCAGACTAGGCTGTGCTTTATCACCATAAATGGATGTAACGCCAGGTGCCTAGAATATAAGAGCAGTAGGATTTGATGGAGTTAAACTCTTTTTGGTTTGAAATTAACTGTTCTTATCTGCTCAGTGCATCCTAAAACAAAATTCTCATATGTAACAGAAACTGTCCCAACCATTAAAGCGCTACTGGAGCATTTGCAGTTCTCTTCATTCCCCAAACTCCAAAATACACTTTATTCTAATATAACATCACCTTGCTTTCCACTTGGTCTCCGGAATTGTAGGTGTGCCCCCTGAAGAATGGATCATTCTTGACCTCCATGAGCGTGTACTTGCCGTTACACACTGGACACACTAAAAGGAGGAGGAGGAGAGAGAGAGAAAAGTACTATAGTCATGACAGAGAAGAGCAGGTCAGGTCAGGTCAGCTCTGAAATCCCACACGCTCCACACTCACACCAAACACAGTAATCTAGCTTAACTCCTCTCAGTTTCATATGCATTAGAAGCCTTGCCCTTCCTCCATGCAAAATATTAAAGACTGTGTCAGTAGACTCTTAACATACACAGGCAAACACAGACCAAAACCAACCCCACATAAAATGGCGATGCTAACCACATATCCATAAAACACAAGCATGTTAGAATAACACAGTCCAGAGACTATCTTGCTTATCTGCATTTTCCATGACACATTTATGGCTCAACATTTAATTAACTTACTGTCACTCTAGCTCTTATGTGTTATAAAACAGACACGTTTCATTTTAGACCACGTTTTAAAAAAATCTACATATAACAAACAGGTTTTTTGGTATTTGTTCTGTACAGAAACTAAACAGGTTTTAACTTAAGTGAAGCCTGTTACCACACAGGCTTAGATAATTACAATATGGTGACCGCAACAATAATATAGCGCCGACTGAGGTGTCCTACCTAATGAGCACCACTAGAGGGACACACATTCGGTTATACAGACCACTATACAATAGTTTTTTGGAGGGACATAGTTATGATGGGATTTTAAAGTGCTTAATAAAGTTCAGTTTGTTATACATTTGCTTGAATAATTAAAGTTGCCAATTTCACCAAACTATGGTATCATCTGCTAAAAGAAATCACAAATAAGAACATAAGAACTATACAAACGAGAGGAGGCCATTCGGCCCATCGAGCTCGCTTGGGGAGAACTTAACTAATAGCTCAGAGTTGTTAAA